ATAACACTAAGTCGAGGGAGAAGATAGATGAGATTTTATTGTAATGAAATAAATAAATTTAATAATGTCTGCAACGAAATAAAATCCAATAAACTTAATGCAACGATCTAGGAAATTAACTTTGATGTTCGTTATATCACAGCTACTTCTTTCACCTTTTATAATATTGTTAGTAGTAGAACTACACTTCAAACTGAAGTGATTTGGTTACTAAAAATTTCCAAAAAGAAGAATTTTTGCAAAACCAAATAAATTCAAAAATGGCATATATAGAAATTTTTGTCAACAAATTCGGTTTTTCATAAAAAAATCCATTAATTCATAAAAAATTTGTGTTTTCTATCTGAAATGATGCAAAACTATATAAACAGACCAACAGTTAGAATGTCATTAATAAGCACATTTTGCCACAAATAAATTAAAATTTACATAAAAAAATTTCCAAATTAATTTCAAAAAATCACATAAGATATTATGAAGTCTTGTTTTTAAAGGATTTGTTTTCATACTTTGCAAATAACATATTTAAAATTAATTTAAAAAGAATAAAAAATGTAGAAGAAACTGAATAAATGAAAAAAAACCTAACAATTTCTTGTGTAAATTCTAAAATTGAAAGCAAACATTAAACAAAATATTTAAATAACAGAAAATTTGCAAACCTTTTCTCTTTTTTATTCTATTTTTCATTTTACCTTTATAACAAATTTTTTAGGTTAAAGTCATAAAATATATTTTCCCAATCAAATATTTTTTAGTGCAGACCATAAATTTTGTAAAAGAAAAATGTAAAAAAAAACAAAAGAAAATAGAAAACCAAGTCGGAAATAAAATGAAAAATAAATATGAAAAATAGAGAAACTGAACAAAATTTTTGTATTTCTACTGAACTATAAACATAAAAACAAAATATCCTTTTTTTATATATATATACATACATACATATATATATATTCAACTGAAGAACACGCATTTAGTATCCTTAAATGAGGATGCCATTCATCACAAATAAATAAAAAGGGAAAAATGTGACACACAAAGATGAAAAAAAGGTCAACAACAGCAACAATACAAAAACAAAAACACCAAAAGTAATAACAAGAGCAATAACAACAATAACAAAAAAAATAAAACCAATTTCATTCAATCAAACGTCAAATTTCATATCCTTAAATATTTTTTTTTTATGTACTGTGATTTTCTATCTCTTTTTTTTCTTCTTCTAATATTATTCTAGGACACAAGCACTCAAAAAAAGGGACGTTCATCTCGTATTTTGATTATATTTAAACGCCTTTTTTCTTTTTGTTTCTCTTATCACGTTTTTTTTTCCTTTTTTATTGTTATTCTATATATTTTCTTATTCTTTTTTTTTTATTTCTTTACTATTGTCTCTCTTATTACTTTAAATGTATTCAACCATTGACAAGAAACTATCATTCATCAAATTATAAGTTATTCCGTGACCCCATAACCTTTTGGGAATTGAACATTGAACAAGTTTATTCATCTTCTATATAATGTGGGAGAACCCACATATATACGTATAGAATTTTATATACGTATAGAAATACGTATATAAAATTATTTTATAGGTACATTTAGAGTTTAGTGCACTCGCTACAAAAAGAAAATGTTATAAATTTTTGGTCCTTTAAGAATAAAAGCAAAGCAATATATGAAAATTTTTCAGTTTTTGTAAAATATTTTCTTTCTTATTAACTGTAGATTGTTTTATTTCAGTGGAATGCGTTTTTGTATTTCGGATTTTACGCAAAAATTTATTAATTGAACCAGAAATCATATTTACTTTATGATAGCATGACAACTTTGTTTTTCTTGTTGTACGTTTTTGTTTGTAAATCTCTTTTGGGAATTGCAATTTATTATTTTGGGATTTAGATTTCATCCGGGAGGAATAGTCATTTTGAAGTTAATTTATTGAATTATGACAATAAAGGATTTTTTTAACTTTATTGCCTCCTTTTCATTTTGTAATGAAAAACGTATTCAGTGATAACAATGAGTGAGTGTTAGTGTACTTGTGAAAAGGATTTAGATTAGTTTTGTTTATAGGTACTTAAACACATTATTAGTTTTTTCGAAATTTTAATTGACAACTTTAAAATTTTAAAGGATTATTATTTTTTTCTTTGCTAAACAGCAGAGATTTTTTAATTAAAATTGATATCGACCTGATTTGCAACTTGTTTGACTTGGTAACTTAATATACTGAAGTAAAAGTAGTAGAATCTTTTGACTCGATCTATAATTTTTTTGTTAAAATACGCACAGTATACATATATGTACATATAGTAAAGTTAATTTGCAAATATATTTGTATTACAAAGACATTTTGATTTTATATTCTGAGTTATAATTCATAATTACTTTCTATGCACGATAATAAAATTACAAGTCTAATGAAATCTATTCAAAATTTTTTTGTGATTATCTGTGATTTCATGTGATTACTCAGATTTTTGATAAATTTTCAATAATTTAATTTCCATGTTCATAATTTAGCACCTATTTGAGCCCGAGAAGCTTAATCAAACTAATTTTCTGAAAACATTTTGAAGCTAACTAGTAAAGTTTCACCTTCGTAACTACTTAAAATATATGCCGTTTAGGAGTATTCAATACCTTTTTAGTACTTATTTTAGAACATAAAATTTTTCTCAATTTTAAGTGTATTCTTAGTAGTTACAATGATATTACAATATTTAGGAATGTTTCATTCAGCAAAAACTATTTTGGACGCGGGAATTAGAATTGTTTTTGGAATCGCCTCAATAAAAACTTCCAAACGAATTCTCTTTTAAGATTTGTATAGATTTGTATCTTTCATTCCACTTTCATAGCCAGCAGGGAAAAACTTATATTTCGTTTTTAATTCCTAAAAAAAAATGTATGTTAGTTTGCAATTCGTTAAATATATTTCGAAAAAAAGAAAGAAAAAATTGTTTTCTTTTTTAAAGTTTCTGTTTTAAATTTTCTATTTTGTGAAAGAAAATTAAAAAAATTTCTTATGTTTCTGCATCCTTCTCACTTACAAAAATTTAATGCGATGTTAAACACATTCTTACAAGAAATAAACTTATTGTTTCTCAATATTTTTGCAAGACTTAGGAATTGTATTTTGTTGAATTAAATGCTTAGTTTCTAGATTAGTGTCTAAGATTTTTCTTTTTTCCTTTTTTTTAAAATTGTGAAGACTTTATACATATTGCTTATTTATATGAGAATAGTTTTTTGTAAAGAGAAGATTTTATCTACTTATAAAACACAAATATATAGTGAGCACAGGAATTATAAGGATTTACTCTTACTTATTTCAAGAACTTGAGAATGAAAATGTAAATGTGCGGATGTATTGTTTTTAATACTATTGATTTAACATAAATTTACAATACATAAATTTTTTTATAAAATTTTTTGATATGAAGAAAGTAAAAGTGAAATTTGTATAATTACGGTAAAGATCGGTATACGGTAAAGATAGGTATACTTCGCTTCAAGATATCCCAAGTCATATTGAAATTAATATGTTAGATATCCCTATTTTTTTATTCACTTCTACCTTTATTAATATTACAAATTTTTGTTTTATTTTTTTCTACTTTTTTGATGACATAACCTTGTCATAATTCTGTTAATTTGCAATATTCTAAAGTTACCTAGTACTCATGTTATATTGTCATGTTAAATATCTTGTATTTACATTCTTTACATACAGTATTTATGTGAAAAAAAAATTTAAAATATATTTTAACTTTATTGAAAAATGATAGATTAGTTTGAATTGACAACATGTTGAATGAGTACATGACGTAATTTAAGTATCTTGTTAAAACAACTTTAATACATTTAGCAGAGTAGGTATAGAAGATTTACTACAGAGCTTTGAAAAATTGAAGAAAATAAAGTAATAAATTATCATAAGTTCACATATTACCAGAATATTCCATTCATATTACAACAAGCGCTCTCTAAATTGACGCTTAAACAAAAATCCACTACAAACATGTTGCACACCTTTCGTTACTAGCACATTTTCATTGAAATAATATTTGACTTGTAAGATCGTAAAAATCTACATAACCATCGTTGAGCTTTTCAAGGATACGATAAAAAAAAAAAATAAAAATTTAAATAAACTTAACGGAAATCAAATAGAAATTTATTTTACACTATTATAGAACGCCTAGCGGAAAATTATTTAAACTTTATATGAAACAAACTTAATTATTTAGAAAAGCTTAATTTTATTTTTAAAAGCTTTTATATTTTGAAGCTTTACATATGAAAGCTTTCATTTAATGTTTCAAAAAATTGCACATGCTCTGGAATATAAAAATATGAAATGTCAAAATATATATTTGTAGTTATGTAGTATTATTTTCTACAAAACAAAACAAAAAAGTTTACTGGAACAAAATTTTCCAACCGACTGATGCTGTGCAGCATCTATCAACCATCCAATAAAAGGAAGATAAGAGAAATTTCCAATCAGTGTTTCATTTTCCATTTGTTTCCCATGTTATCATTCCTTTAAGGATGTTTTCAAAAAATTTAGTTCATGTTTCACCTTTTTGTTACAAAGTAATCAAGAACGGTCGTGCCCACATTTTAAAATACGATAATGGATTTTTTTGTTTTTTCTTTTTTCGATTTTGAACTATGCGCGATCTTAATGGTAATTTAATTTTCATTGAAATTATGATGAAAATGAAGTGAAAGGGAGTTTTGAAATTTTTTTTAATATTTATAAGAAGAAAGTTTTGTAATATCAAAAGTAAATAAAAAATTAAAAATGTCAACAAAATGTAAAGAGTTTATATGATAAGAGAAAAAGATTAATTTTCAATTTTTACAAAATATTTTAATTTTAATAAGTGTAAAATTATACGTATAATCCATTAGAGAAAAGTGAAAATATCAATAAAATTAGATTAAGATTTCATAGCTTATAGGAATATTAAAAACAAAATTTCAAAATGAATATTCAACCTTTAGATATCTTCGAAGCCGAAGATTTAATTAAATATGAAATGTTTGGTTTATCAAACGCTACTATGGTACCAGTTATGATTACAATGACCCCAGCTGGTATTACACCATTGACGCCGCAACCGGCTTCATCAGCTTCAATCGGTAATCAATCAGTAACAGTATCAACACCATCAGTAGCTAGTATTGGTAATCCTATATTAAATACATTAACTGGTACCTCAATGGAAACACAATATGACGCCAGCACAAATACGATTAGTAATAATTTAGGAAGTCTTGTTAGCAATTTCAATGATCAAACTTTAACACAAACAGCACCATCATCAACAGCATCAACACCTTTACAATTACAACAACAACAACAAATTCATCAATTTCATACTTTACAATTACATCCCCCAGGGAATACAACTCCATTAGGGGTGCAACCCCAATTAATACCACCCGGGAGTATCATAGTTCCGGCATCACAAACAGCAAAATTAACACCTGAACAATTACAGCAACTTGAGTTGGCAGCAGCAAATGGTCTAATAGGTAGTGGTATTGTTTATCAAACATTACCATTACCGGCAATAACACCACCCCAACAACAACCACCTCCAATATTTTCTACAACACAACAATCACAATTAACCCAAACCCCAGTTGAATCACAACAATTCATAGATGAGCAATCCCAAGAACAACAACAGCAACAACAACAACAATTCGAAAAACAAATACAACAACAATATAATACAAATTGTCCTAGGCATTGTCATATTTTACAAACGCAACAACAACAAAATAATATAAGTACAGCAACAAAAATAACCCAGACTACAAAACCAGTAACAACAAAAAATGCTGCCACTATAACAACAGCTACAATGACAATATTAGAAGATGAAAATGAAAATGAAGATGAAGATGATGGTGAAGCAGATGATTTAGATGATGATGATAATGATGATGATGATATGGAATCAAATCATGGAAACGATTCATATACAACATCATGTATTCCAAAGAATTTCTCAATGAATGGAAGAAATAATAATAATTTTGTAACAAATTTTGGACGGATAACAGCTGGTGATTTTTTTAGTAGTCAATATGAACCTGGCTGTAATGTTGGTTGTAATGCTCTTATGATAATGGGTATTGGAAGTAGCAGTAGTAGCGGGAATCGTAATGGGAATATTGAAATGAATGGTAATACATTATTAACAAATCGTAATAGAAGACAATCACAACAACAGCAATTGCAACAACAGCAGCAACAATATTCAGAGCTACAACGGCAAAGTTCTATAATTGGAAATCCAATTGGAAATTTATTAGATAATAATATTGTAACATCTGGAATATGTAGTAATGGTATTGGAAGCGATATAATAGGTGATGATAATGGAACATATAAAAATGAAACAAATAACACGAACAATGACCAAGTGAAACAGCAGTTACCTTGCAATTGCACTTATATGAGCTTTGATAACTTTACGGATTATCAAGTAATTATTTTTAATTCATCCTTTTTTTTTATAAATTATTTACCTGCTAGACACAATTTATTCTACGTTAATTTTCAATTGAGTTAAATGATAAGGACCTATAAAAAGTGTGAAATATTGTGTTAGAAATATTTTATGGTTATTTAAACGTTAGGATCATAAAATAAAATTATTTAAGTATGTATCTCTGATTTAATGAACAATTCAAGCTACCATTCTAACCATGTTTTTTAAATTTGGCCATAAAAATTCAAATATTTTCTACAGAAATTGCAAAGAAAGCACTTAACGTGAATATTTTTTAATCGTAAAATTTTTTGAATGTTGTTTAATACTATATTATTGTCATAATTAATTAATTTCATTTTGATGATGGAACTTTTAGGTCGTAAAGTTTAAATTGATTTCTCTCTAAAACAATTTTCACCATTACTGCATATTCTAAAAGAATTCTTGTTATCTTTTTATTACGCCTTTAATTTTATAATCTTATGAAATGAGATTTTAAAAATATCATTGTTTGTAGTTAAATCTAAGAACCTTTTAATTCTGTGAATTTTAGCATAATTTAAAAAACAAATTTAAACAAGAAAATTTCTAAATTTTCTTTCATGTTTATCAGAATTTTTTCACGTTAAATTTGAACTATACACTCTTAACATATCAGTCGAAAAATAAAATTTCTTTTGATACTTTTAAAGCAATTCATGAAAATACTTAGATTATTTTCATGTAATTAACTTTACTTCCATGTAAATTGGAAATTTTATGACAATCTACGACACTAGCACATACACAAATTCTTGCAAAAGTTATTGTATAAGAAATTTTAAATTATAAATTGTAAATAAAATATAAAAACAATAAAATATCTTGAAATTGGAGGAAAAGAAGCTTCTATTTACAAGCTGCTTTTAATTATAAGCCAATTAAGAAATGAATTTTCAAGAAAATACATTTGATATTATCGTATTCCGAAGAATACCGATGAAAATAATTGTTTTAAAAAATAATATCAATGGGATATTTTAACCATTACAGAGTAAAGTGCTATTATAAATGCATAAAATGCCAAAATTATTAATTTTTCCAGGAGAACATATTACAGTCTTTTGTATTAAACTATGATTAGCAGAATTTTTAACAGTTGATATTCCTCCATTTACCTGTACCTGTCAAACTCTTCCAAGAGCTAAATTAGCATTATGTAGTATTCTTTATGAATGCAGAAACGTTACTATAATTTAATCCAATAAAAATCTAAAAAAAAAAATCATAACATAGAAAACTTTACAAATTACTCCATTAAAGGAAATTTTGTATTTTTTTCACTCTCGGTCTGAAAAAAAAATCTTAAGAAACTAAATATCCTGGAGATTTTATTTAAATTATTATTGGAATATCATTTGTTATTGGAAAATTTTGTAAAATTGAATTTTTTTGTAGAGAAAATACCTAATTTTTAATTTAAATTCCAAAAGGTCAATTTTATAGCATTAGAATTGAACGTATTTCTTTTTTTCCATTTAGCTTTGTTACTTTGTTTCTATTCTTCGTTTTATCACATTAGTTTTCTATTTATTTTCTAATATAACTTTTTTCTTTTTCTAAATTTTCAATACTCTATCCATGTGACATTACACAGAATAAGGCAACATTTTTTACATTCCTTAAACATACGGTTTTAAGTGACAGAATTTTACTCCAATATTTTAAGGATGCTATGTACAAATCGGCTCGTGACCAAAAACCGTAACAGACTAACTAAACCGTAATAAGAATTTTTCATTGTAACATTCAGTGTAGCAATTCTATGAAGTTTAATACAGCACAGGAATTTGGACTATTATTTTCATTCTACTAAATCGAAAAATAACAGAATTACACAAACTGGTTCTTAAGTCTAAAGTTTTTCATAAGGCTGGAATCTTTTGTTCCGCAAATTATCAACAACAGATTACATTATTTAAGATTATTTACACTAGCTGACACCACTCACTACAACTCCTGATGTCATGAATCCGACTCTGAATAGTAATAAAATTTGAATATAAATGAATGATTTTTATTTTTTACTTCTCCTTTTTTTGTAATTCTCATGTCTATATTACAGATATATGCGTATTTGCTCAATAACATTAAATTCAAAATATTTCGGATGTTATATCTAAAAAACATAAACATAAATATGTGATAAAAACTCATTAAAAAAAAATTCATTTAAAAAACAGTTTAAAAAAACTCCGAAAAATAAAAAACTATAAAATAAAAACATAAATGAAAATAAAATTTTATAATCCTTAAAATCAGTAAAATAAAAGAGACATGTGTAAAAAATGTTTCTCTCTTATTTTATAATAAGTTTTTGAAATTAAAGATGGACAAGGGACTTCATTGATTATATATTTGGGGCAACTATACAACAACTTGAATTTTTGTGAGCAAAATAATAAAATAATTGTATTAGAAAATGATCATTGTAAATGAATGGGATGGAGGCAAATTAATTTTGAAAATTTTATAATTGAATTGAAAGTTTATTGGTTTCGTAATGGGAATTAGGAACCCAAATTAAAACCAATGGGTAAAAAATTTTTTATTTTCTGAATTTTTTTATTTAAATGTATTTATTTGAGGTTTTAACATATTCTCTTAAAGTAAAAAAGGGCTCAAAAACTCTGAATTAAAATGTTTCTTTAACTTTGTATTAAAAGTAAATTTCTTAAAAGAATATTTCAAATTTATTAAATTAAATATTTAAAATAATTATAAAACATATATATTACAGGTTCAATTCTAAATTATTTTCATTACCGTAGAGCATTAAAGGGTCTCCGTAAGCCTAAAATACATCATACCACAATGAAATAAAATTAAATTGAATAAATTCTTAGAATTTTTAAAATGTTCAATAAAATTTGGAATGTAAATAAGTTTATAAACGGCTACATTGAATTATTTTAAAATTTCAAAGGAAAAATAAAAAAATACATACAATATAGATATAGAGTATTTTTAATTCAACGTTACAAGTACATACTTTGCAAAAATTCAAACATAACACTCATACCACTCGTACATTTTATTAATAATTTTTATACAAAATGGCTCCAGCTTTATTTTAGGTCGTAATAATTAATTTAATTCCCGTTTTTTTTTATTATTAATTCTTTTATAAATTTTCATTTCTCATAATTGATTCATCCGCTTCATTGACTTAATGTTATTAATATTTCATTTGGAACTTAATAATGTTAATGGCCTGTTGAACTTAATACCATTCAAAAATCATTTAAGAACCATAGGGCCAATAAAATATTTTTTTATAGTCTGCTATTTTAACAAAAAAATTAAGTGGAAATTTTTATTTCTTTTTTATTTTTTCTATTTTTAATTTTTAATTTCTCTAACCAAAAATCAATAAAAACTTAAGAGCAAATATTTACAATCATTTAGGTTGAAAAGAAAAGTGATTTTATAATTACTATCTTAGTCAATTATAGGATACGCGAACAAAACTGTAATGAAAACTGCATGGTGGCTAATTTATAAAATAACTTGGATTGTTACATCATAATTTCCTTAAACAGAGTGAATTTAATCGACTCGAATTAGAAGATAAAGTTTAAAACTTTTTCACATCCTAGCTTCAACATGTATTTTTGAAAGTAACGTTTTAGGCGGCAAAATAGCTAAAAAAATTTAATGCATATTTAAAAAACCAGTGAGAAACGGTTGTATAATCACCGGTTTTGGACGCCAAAATATTTTTGGTTTTTGATATTTGGTATCATCTAAGAGAGTCCAACATATTACTCTACACATAGAATTCGTTAAATTCATTTTTAATTTATTTCACTTATAGTGTTATAAATTTAATATTAGAATTTTATTAAATCTTCAAATTTAAAAGTATTTCGTAGAAAACCGAATGGAAAATTTCTTTTTCTTTCAATATGAATATATTATTTTTGCTTTAAATATCCTTATTATCCTCATTCAAAAAAGAGAAAAAAAACAAGAATCTTATGGCCTCTTTTGATACGAAAAAATCTATTTAAAAAAATAAAAAAAAAAAATTCAATGTGTACATTCGCTTAAATAAAATTGTGTGGGTACAATAGGGCGAGCCATTTAATTTTTTTTTTTTTTTTTTTGCATTTATAATTATTGCGAAGACCTTGAGATTTTTTTTATGTGGAAATTCTTTGAAAACAGCTGGTATTTTTGTTTAATTCTCTTAACTTAAAATTTTATTTGATTTCACTTGGCTTTACTATTCAAATCATTAAAATTGATAACAACTTGCTCAAAACTACTAAAATATTGAACTGATCGCTCCAAATCAAATAAATTTTCATAAGAAGTTTTCGCAACTATAATCTTTTACTACTTTTACTACTGAAATATAATATTTTGCAGAAAGCAAAAAGTTTATGAACAATAAATTGTTAGAGTCAGTTGCGAATTGTAGAAAGGCTGTAAATATATTCTTCAAAATTTTCAAATTACTTTAATTTCACATCACACCAAGATTATTATAAGGAGTGAGAGTGATAGGAAATGTACAATGAGGCGTATCATTCGTTATAGACCTATTTATCCCCAATTGTTAATCTTTTTTATGTGCTTCACATATTGAACCGTAAAATACTGCGAAGACTCTCTTCTTTACTCCTAAAGTCTTAAAATTTGGATACTAAAATAAAATTACAAAATTAATTAATTCACATTCAAATTGGTGATAATTTTAGTAATATCAAAATATATATTACTTAAAATAAATTTTTTTTAAGGCTGACACTTTAATACAAGTCGATCTAAAAATTTAATTAAGTATGTCCGCTATTATGCTCTATTAATTTCAATAGTAAAAATTGATTTTTAAGTAGGAAGGCTGACCAATAGGATTTCCAAAAACAATACATATTCCTACAAAAATTCGTAAATTTTCTAACGATCCATCCTAATAAAATACTTATACATTCTGCGCCTATTTC